CCACCCGCCGCACCCCGCCGCGCCGCTCTTCCCGGCCGCCCACCCCGCCGTGCCGCCCTACCACGCCGCCGGGGCCGGGCCCGGGCCGCACTGTCCCCTGCCCGTGGCAGGGCCCCACCTCCAGCCCCAAGGACCAAACAGTATCCCGCCGCCCGCCGCCCCAGGCTTCTGCCCCCACCCCGGCTCCGTGGCCCTGCCGCACGGGGTGCAGGGGCCGCAGCAGGCCTCGCCCGTGCCCGGGCAGATCCCCATCCACAGAGCACAGGTGCCGCCCACATTTCAGAACAGCTACCACGGCTCGGGGTGGCACTAGAGCGGACTCGTCTCAAAAACATTTTTTAAAATGTTGTGTAAGATAAACTGTATATTTCATATGTACCTATCAAGGTACTTTTTAAAGCTTGTACATGAAACTTTGTATAAAAAAACACCAGTGCTCTTTCATTGTATTTTTCCCATTTTTGCTTTTTAAAATTTCTTTTAAACTGTGCTGTTAAACCAGTATTAGGGATCTTTATTTTGTAAGTGAACATTCCAGCTGTTCTTCTGGCAGTAGATTCGATGCTCCATGACCTTTAAATTTTATTGTTGCACTTAATTCATTTAGTGAATGTCTATTATTTTATACATATGCATTAAGTACACAGCTATGTAACGGCACTATGAGGATTTTCTTTTGGGGGGGGTTCAGCAGTTCTGTGAGAGTGCATCTTAGGTATAAAAATGCAACACAGATTTTCTTTTATAGTTTGGTGTGGATATGGCTCATTTTATCAGTTATTTCCAAGCAAAATGTAATTTAATGTATAGATGATTTCTAATGTCTGACAGACTGTAAATACTACATTTCTTTTGCGTATATAATTGCTTACTGCTTTTTTCATTTGATATATAGCATTGTACATATGACAAGTCTTTTGAAAAACTGTGTGATCTTTGTGAAAGTAGTACAGTATATGATCTTTAATTTCTTTTTTATTTTAAATATACTGTCACATTGAAGCACTGGTTGGGCATTTTAATTCATGTTAATAAATCACAATTATGTCAGTTTTACCAAATTGTCCTGTACAGCTAACTTATAAATTGGGGTCTGCTTAAGTGCTTTTATAAAAGTTATGGTTTTTGAATATAATTTGCAAGGAACCTTCAATTTTCTTTACCGACTACTAACTACCTCCATTGGATGGTAGCGGCAGTAAGAGGCTGTTTCTGTAATGGTACCTACATGCCATTTTCCAGGAGAGGGCCACAAGAAACTGCTTAATATCTGCACTGTCTAAATTATCTGGCATCCTACGAAATGAGTCCAGACCACTAACGCATTACACAGACAGACTGCAGTTTGTAACAGTTGTTTGAAGATACCAGTAGTCTGCCTTCTAAAACACAGGACTAACTTTGCACATGTTAGAACATGACTGAATGTCCTATTGGTTAATCAAAAATGATTTGAAAGCTGTATGCTTAATATCTACCTACAGATTCTTTTAAAGCCATAGGAAATAAGTTTCGTTAAATTTGGTCTGGGAATACAAAACTAAAAGGCATTACAAGTAAAATGAAGATGGCCTCTTGGTTGAATACTTATAGCTGAAATATAAAATGCTACTTCTGATCTTAGAAAAATGAAAATCCCTAGCCTTTGCCTTCTATCTCTCAGGAGTACTATTATATCCAGTATCAACGACCGTGTCAACAGATTTTTTTCACCATGCAAACAAATACTTGGAGTAATTTGGGCACAGTATACAAATTTTGTGCATCAGAAAAACAGTAAATAGACTTTTAAAATGACTGAGATCTGGCAGTAATTTAAGTCATGTTTTATGATTTTAATTTTCATTTCCTTTTGAAAATTAGCTTAGGATTGTGCCTTAATACAGCACTTAGGGTTCAATCCTAATCAGCTTCAGGTTTTAGAACATAAGTCAACTTTGCCATCCTTGACTAGTGAAGCAAAATTGTACTTAGGGCAGTCACAAAGAACATCGCCTGATAGTTTAACTAACATAAAATACCAGTATTTATGTCTTTAAAAGGACTACCCTCCTGAGCATTTTTAATTGTCCACTGTTTCAAAATGGCCTACTATAGAACTAGTACCTGTAGAAGCTCATGTGCAAACTGCAGAATACGAAATCATTCTATGATGAAGGAAAGCCCTCCAATACTGTCCTCTACACCAAACTTTCATCTCTAAAAAGGGGAGAAAAAAGTGGAACTACAAAAAGAAAAAAGCTCTCTACTCTCATGGAAAGTTTCCTTACTTTATCCTGTTAATAAGGTTATGTCTGGTCCAGGTAGAGAAGGAAACAGTGAATCAGTTTTCACCCAAAAGGTACGTCATACCTCTCTGCAGCTCCAGCAGCCACCTTTGCTCTGCCGCCGGGCAGTTCTAGATCTGCTATCATCACATACATGACCCACTGCTTGTAATTTTCCATGAAGACTTAACATGGACCATAGAAAGGAAAAGAAAGGACATGCCACTAAAATCAGTGAACTGACTACTGTTTAGCGTAATCAGTGGTTCTCCTTTAGCCTGTATGCGTTCTGTATCAACAAGCCACCAAGAACAAGCTAAAAACCACATGGTTCCTAATACAAAAGTACATTTTTTTCTAGAACAACTGGTTCTACATTGTAAACTAGTTAGGCTATATTTTATCAGAGATGCTACTTAAAAATGAATAATCTAGTTTCTTTTCCAACAGCAACTAAAACTTAAGACAAACTTCAATCAAGCGTACTATCATTCTGATAAAAATCCTTCTAGACGGCGGGGGGGGGGTGAGATATAAATGTACTCTGTAGTTCTTGCGAGAATGTTTCCTGTGGAAACCATGGATACCATCCCTGGTCTATGACCAACTTCTGCCAAAGAAGTGACATGGAGACCTAAGAAGCCTCATTAGAAACACAGCATGCACATCTCATAAATGAATGGTACACTCCACCTCAGCAACATGTGAGACAATGCTACTTCTAAGAGGATTATGAGTCTTGTTCCCTCAGAGTGAATGTTGTTTAAAAAAAAAGTTTGAAATGCTCAAAAAAAATACAGTTAACACGATTTTTGATGAAGCCTGGATAAAAAAGGATCACTGAAATTCTAGATAATGAATCTAGAATTTAGCATCTTTCCTAAATCCATTCTGCCCTTAAAAAAATACATATATGATTTCCTTACAAGAAGCCTTAATTCACATTCCACAACTACGTTTGCCGCAATAGGGATGTTGGTATTCCCTTTACTTCTGGTAACACTACACGTACAGCAAATGCTCGTTGATTCTATCTCTTCAAATTTAGGGCAATGACCAAGGCAATGTCTGGGGGAAAAAAACCAAAGCACTTTAATTTTTCAGACAACTGCAAGCACCTCAAACAATAGATTATTGTTACAACACTTGTTAGCTTTTCACAATCTAGTTATTGCAAAGGCATATGGATAAATGTTAATGGACACAGTCAAGAAAAACGAGGCACCTTAATGACTGTAAAATTTAAAATAAAAAGACATTCAATCCACTGACTTCTAAAAGAGGCTAAATATACCTCTATATATTACATTCTAAAATTGTATTGCCTACTAATAATGGTTTGTGTCCTGGATTCTACAGTTAATTTTGAGGAAATGCATAAACAAAAACTGTGTGCAACCCACAGAGGAAAATCATTTTTCTCATTCATGGAAAGACGATGAGAAAGCTGGTAAAGTCCATGTGGCCACCATCGAGCCGCCTACGGAATGGATGTGATCGCTGTCACCTTGGGGCTGGAGGAGGGGTCTGCCCACCGCACTGCCCCTGCATATACCAACCTTGGGTTTAGACAAACATGATCATGCTTCTCCAAACATATATATATTGTCATTCCACACACCGAACACGTTTCTCTTGTCCAATTTAATCTATGCGTTTAACTTACAGTGCTTGGAGAAGGCAACGCCACATGGTCCCAGGCCATCACATTTTTTAAGGGAAATCACTTTTTTTCTTTAAAAGTACTCTTAAAAATATGCAAAAATACAAATGGGACTGCTAAATTATAATGCATGTCAGAACAAGCATGTCTTTTCTTCCTTTAAAGTGCCATACAGGGAATGATGTCTGGTGACCCAGAGCCACTTCATTTAAAATCCAATGTGAATGGACTCTGAGGGAATGAAAAGTCTGCACAAGTCCTTGGAGCAGTGAGTCTGCTACGTGCAACTTAGCTACAAAGCACTCAGGCCTTGGTAGCTTTTCTGAAACTTGAGTCCCCATCCCATATTTAATGGAAATTAACATTTACAAGGGTGCATTTACATACACTATAATACAGGAATGATGTCCCTTTGCTGGAAGATAAAATTGTACATTTCCTTGCTATTTCTTGGTTCTAACTCGATAATTTCTTAAGATTGTAAATTATATAGTACTCAGCTAAAATATTTCTTCATAAATAATTACAAATCCTGCCAAAACACAAAGGGGAAAGAATTTTTCATTCAAAATAAAAATGACATTTGAATGCCACACAAGAAACAATGCTTAGAGACATGTTGTTGTTTCCAGAAGAAAATGGTTAACTACTTAGCTGAAGACAAAAGACTACCCTTTCCCAGGATCACAGTACACAAAAAGCAAAATATCAAACAACAGTACCTCAAAGCAAAATAAAGGTCTGAGGATGAAGCCAGCTCACTTGTAATCCTGCTAAAGAATGAGAGTCACCGTTTAGGTCCAATGTACTGGAAAACACTTGCTAGCTCAGAACGGTGTATTTGTAGCTTTGCTAAGAATTCAACCATGGATGCCGAAGGCATTCGCCAGCGGAGGCTCGTTTTTCTGGAACCATTTCTAACATCGGGATGAGGAAATCTGTAAACTGTGCAGCATCTTCATGTGGCCAGCCATACTTTTCCACAAGTACATCAAAGAGGCTCCAGGGCTTCAGCTTGGTGATGTGCCGCAGTTCTCCTACCGGGGAAAAACACCAGTATCAAGGAAGTTCCAACTTCACACTTCCCATAGTTCGCCGAGCCAAGCTACCTACCTGCTCAGTTGACATCTTAGGGCAACCAGGAGGAAGGCCAGCGCGTTCCTCTTTACAATAATCACAGAAAGATCTGTGACCATGTCCTAGTTCAAGTAAGCCTGGTGGATTTAAAGGGTTAACTGTAGTTCGTACACATCAGTTCTAGGTTTCTTTAAGCAGAGTGTTCCAAGAAGGCCTAGAAAGTTTTCTTTCTGCAGTACTGGGGATTGAATCCAGGAGCTTCACACTGAGCTGTATCTCCAGCCCTTTTTTATTTTGAAACGGGGTCTCACTAAGTTACTAAGTTGCCCGGGCTGGGCTTGAACTTGCAATCCTCCTGCCTCAGCCTCCCAGACTGCTGGGATGACAGGCATGTGCCACTGTGCCCAGTTCCAGAATGTTCTCAATTCCCAAAAAAGCCAACTCCAACTTGGGCTCTTATGCAATGTCCAAGCTGGTTTAGAGAAAGCTGCAAGATGCACCATGTTACGCAAAGAGAAAGGAGTCTCTTCCTCTACAGCCCTGGAGAACCTCCATGATGGCACCGATGCACTTTTTATCTGTGCTGCCCAGTCTAGCAGTGAAATGTAGCTGGTGTGAGCTGGCTACTGCACTGGACAATCCCAGCCAGAAACTGTTCATGTCTGCACATCTGTTGTAAAATCTAAGATTCCAAGGACATTACTATATGACGCTTGAAGTTACCATACTCAAAGTACTCTAGCTGTAGCATAAACAGTGTTACTCAGGGACGGTTACAGGCGGCGCAGACTGACACAGCAGAGCAACTAACTAAGAAGCTAGAAAAGGGTCTGAGTGCTGCCCTGGCCTCTCAACAGGAAGACAAAGCTAAGTCAAACTGCCAGTAGGTTTGTACCCCGTTCTGAACAGCTCCTCTAGCCTGTCAGTCGGGAGAGCTCGAGGACACCCAGCCCTGTTCGAAAGGAATCCCTGCCAGGGGACAAACCCCAGCATCTCCTTTCTCCCTAGAATGTGCTCAAGACAATACAGCACGTTTGTAAAAGTATAAATGCTCAGAAATGGTAGAACAATGGTCGAAAAAACAAACTATGGTACATCTACTTGGTGAGTACTATTTACTGCCAAACAACATGGGGGAAATCAGGGTAAACTGTCAAGCAGCGCATGGAACAGTCTCAAAACTTTGTTCTGCAGATAATCACAAGCTTTTTAAATAACCAAAAAGATGGAAAGCAAGTGGAACAAGACACTAGCAATCCTAAGGTTCTTTCTCTCAATCTCCACATTTCCTATAAAGTGACTATTACAGTTTTGGGGTGACTTGCTGATCTCACCAGAGCAACAGTTAAAGCAAACTAAGAGAGCCTACATATGACTAAAAGCTAAAACAACCTCAGTGCAATTCAATAATCATTCATACTGTCTTGGAACAAATGAATACGGACACTGAGAAGCACAGTCTGCTCAGAACGGCAAAAGAACCCATGTTCGAGGGTGGTGATTTTTTTTTGTTTTTTTTGTTTTTGGTACCAGGGATCAAACTCGGGACCCTGTGCTTGCGAGGCAGGCGGCAGAACCACTGAGCTAAATCCCCAGCAGGTGGTAGTTTTTAACAAGTTCCTTTAACAGGCACCAGACTAAGTAAAGTCAGGCTGCGGCCACAGCTCAGTGGCATGGTGCTTACCTAGCATGCAAAAGGCCCTGGGTTCAATCCCCAGTACCAAAACAAAACCACCACCCCTTGAACAAAATGGGCCCATCCCATCAATGGAGCAGTATTTATTGCCAGTGATAAAATTCAAGCTTTCAAGAGAAATTCAAAACACAACAAACAAACAAGTGCAGTGATCCTCCTGTACCCACAATGATTGGTTCCAAGTACAATCCTCCAGCTCACAACACAAACCCAAGGACACTCAGCCCTTTATGTAAAATGGCGTGGTATATGTGTACAAACATTCCACATCACATATCCTCTTCTCCATATTAAATCATCTCTAGATTATACACAATACCTAATACAATGTAAATGCTAAGTAAATACTTGTTACATTGTATTGTTTAGCGGATAATGACAAGGAAGAATGTTTATACATGTTGAGTACAGATGCAATTTTTAAAAACTGTATTTCAGATCTGTGGTTCGCTGAATTTGTGGATGTGGAAGCCATGCATACTAAGGACTGTACAACCTTCCGTGAAGAGATAAACTTTCTCACTACAGACATCTTAACTGCGTAACAGAGAGAGGTGAAAATAACAGGCTATGAAAAACCATTCACATCTAAGTAGCCACATGTAAACTGATAATATGTGCAAAGAACAATCTAAAATATCTAACATATACTTTTTTGGTTAAGTAATCTTGTATTTTTAAAAAACCCCTATGTGCAAAGATGTAGCCTAAAATAGTAAAGCATGCAACATGCAGAATAGCTGTAGCATGCATACAGGCACGGAGGGCACACGAGCACTGTAGCATGAAGGCCACCGAGTGGCGTCTCAGAGAGCGAGCACACATGGATTCCTTGGATTCTGTGGGTATTCTCTAGTAAAAACAGATCCCATGAATACGTCTGAATTCTCATGCGCAATACACTAAGAAACCCTGGCCTGTAAACAGCTGCTGCGATTCCTACTTGCTCCTACTGTAAAATTAACTCCCTCCTCGTTACTCTGATAATTTTTTCTTTAGAAAATATACAAAGATTATGTCTCACTTAAACAAATTTGGAGATAATCAGACACTTAATTGTCATGGTGTTTACAAAAGAAGAAAGGACAGGACCGGACAGGACAGGGCTGGGTTTCAGCTTTTTTTCGGTGGTGCTGGGGACTAAAATCAGTGGAGAGCAGCGCTCCTGCTCCACCACCTTAGCGAACACTGCGCACTGTTTAACTTCTCCTGTGACTACAAGCTGCCAATCTCACATCCACCCTCTCACAGATATGCACATAAAAGCTCAGCTAGCAAGGCACACGGGTTTTCCCCAGCGTCCCTCTGGCCTGCAAACTTGCTGAGAAACATCTGAACCAAGGCAAGAAAAACTGCCAGGAAGGAGGCTAAGAGGGAAGGAATAAAGGCTTGAGACAGCAACCGTACTTGCCAGTCCCAGATGAGTACAGTGCTTTTAAAGTACCTCCATCATACTTCTACTGAACGTTTAGTGATTTGTGAAGGAAAATAGGTTATTTTGTCCATGAAGTTACGTTCCAGAATTAGACATAGCAGCATATGAGGTTTCATACTCATGTGAAAGGACTATAAGGGCAAATAGTGGGACTGTATTTCAATGAATATTGGTAAAAATAAAGTAAACCATGATATAAACTAAATTTCAGTACTATACAGGTAGAAAGGAAACCTACTAATAAATACTAGTACCAAGCCAAAGACAAATTTAAGAAATATGGATGAATTCCTATGCAGGTAGACAAAGTACAGGTAGGTAAATATCTGAACTCAAAATGTACACAAATCCTACCTCACATCACACACAAAAATTAACTCCAAATGGAACACAGGACTAAATTGGGAGGGGACAGAAAATGACAAGAGTAAATCGTCATGACCTTAAAGTAATGATTTCTTAGGTGAGATACCTAAAGCACAAATAAGAACAGGAAAAGTATATAAAGTGAAAACTGCACTTCAACTATCGAACGTGTGCATTCAAGAGAAATGAAAACATACGCCCATATAAAACCCTGCACATTAATACCAGATCAACATTACGCACAATAGCCCAAACGCAGACACAACCAACTGTGCCTCATCTGATAAACTGATAAACAAAATCCACACTACCTATGAAGAATGGAGCACTGACTCTTGCTATGGAGTACAAGAAAGAAGCTGGGCCGGGGATTTAGCTCAGTGGTTTTGCCGCCTACTGCGCAAGCGCAAGGACTCGAGTTCGATCCCCGGTACCAAAAAAAAAAAAAGAAGCCACATAAGAAAGCCAAAAGCTGTACTGTATGACTCCACTTGTCTGATGTATCTAACACAGACAAATCCACAAAAACAGAAGTAGCATCTGCTGTGGGTGAAGAGTCAAGAAAATGGAGAGTGACCATGAATGGGTACGAGGTTCTTTTTTTTTTGGTACCAGGGATTGAACTCGGGTCCTTGCGCTTGCGCAGCAGGCGACAAAACCACTGAGCTAAATCCCTGGCCCCGAGGTTCCTTTTTGATAATGAAAATGTTCTAAAATTAAATGATAGTAATAATTACTCAACTCTGTGGATATACTAAAAACTACTGAATTGTACACCTTTCAAAGGTAAGGTGTGCAAATTATATCTCAATGAAGTTATTATTTTAAAACGAGCACAACACAGACAACATCCAGAGTTGTATCAATGCTTGGAGTAAAAGTAAGCATTTCATCATCAGTAAATCAAAGGAGATGATGGGAACACACAGGAAGAGCTAAGCACCCCAATCCAAAATCGGTCATGCTTTGAGTGCCAACAGGACACCACAACTGGAAAATCCCACAGCTGACCTCATTCATACGGGAAGTTGCAGTCCAAATGCAGGCACGCTGAAATTACTGTCTAAAATGACCCTCAGAGGGACTGGGATGTCACTCAGTGGTAGAGCACGTGCTTGGCATGTGTGAGGCCCTGGGTTTGATCCCCAGTACCACAAACCAAATAATAGTAAAACCTTCAGCCTACATATATAAGGTTTGTATGAAACATATGAATTTCATGCTTAGACTTGGGTCCAATATTCAAGATATTGCATCATATACATGTGCAAAATATTCCAAAATGTGAGATTTGAAGCTCTTTTGGTTTCAAGCATTTTGGATAAGGGATAGTTAACTTGCATAATGGAAATTATCTGAACCTGCTATAGCCATGATTTCATTGCTTTTTGCATTATGTGTACTAAATGTTGAAATGATTAAAACACTCAAAGCAGTTCCATTTGCACGGCCTGTGGTTTGTTATTTCACAGAACGTCTTTGCTAGGCTTTGTGTCACTGGACTCTGCCTCCGGGGCCCAGCAGCTCTCCTGGGTAACCCAGGTGCAGGGCCCTCCATCATGTGTTCTCCACACAGGGCCAGCTGAGAGCACGGGATGCAGAGAGCAGTGCTGCTCAGACAGCAGGCTGTGCACTGGAACATGTGCTCACCCCACCCAGCTCACAAAGCTTCCCAAACCAAAGCCCACACACAGGCTCCTGTGCTTGAACTTAGTTAGCACCTATCTAACTGGACCTACTCTCTGCCAGGTACCAATGTACTTGGCCCCGGACATCAAGCAGTAAACTGGGCCAAGCCGCTGTTCTCAGACAGCTTATCTTCTAAGGAAGGTGTAATCACACAGAAGAAAGAACTCTGTCGTCCATCCATACACCCACCCATTCACTCAGCCACCCACCCTGGAATTGAACCCAGGCCCTTGGGCGTGCTAGAGACCAAGGCTTTTTAAAGCTCAGAATTAAGGTTTCAAGATGAAACTGTGGTGAAAGTAGTTTATCTGTGCACCACAACCACTCGGGCTCATTAACTAGCGTGAGGACACTTTGCTTAGCTATTTTTATTTCTACAGAGAGTCAACCTCACACTGAGAAGACTCAACCCTAGGCAACCCTTCCTGGGGGTGGGGGGGTTCCAAAGGCAACAAGGCCCTCAAGGACGCCCCACAGCTCACAGATTTTTCTGATGCCCACGCCTGGCATTTATGCAGCTGCAAAATGACTTGAGAATCTTTTAAAACGTGAAGGCAAGAAAATCAAGATGGGGTGGGGACAATGTCCAGCCTATATGGGTCACACACCCACAAAAGATGTCTGCTCCTTCAGATATCAGAAAATCTGCTGCCTTTTACATAACTCTGGGCATACATTTAAAACAGTCTGACACACGTGGCTCAAATATTAAAGATAATTAAACATGAAAGTATCTTTGTAAAATCTCCTAAATCTTCCTTCCCCGAGCTGAGGACCCCCTCCCTCCTCTACTGCAGAGCACAGCAGGCACCAGCACCCTGGCTCAGCAGGCACGGTTGCTTTCTGCAGGGGGCCCTTCTGACATCTGCGACTCATCTAAGAAGCCCTGCAGTCTGGCGCCCATACCGGTGTGCACAGCCACGCACATGCATCCCAAAGCATCTGATACTTTCTAAAAAGTGAACCAGGGCCGGGTATGTAGCTCAGTGGTGCCACCGCCTGCCTCAAAAGCGCAAGGTCCTGAGTTCGATCCCCAGTACCAAAACAAAAAACAAAAAACAAAAAACACTGAACCATATCCTTTGATACTTCCATTCTCAACAAAATATTTTTTACTAAATAATGGCTATTGATGGGCCAAAAGAATGCAGCCCGGTGAGGGGTGCTCTTGCCTGCAATGATTTTCCAACCATCACTGGGGGATGTGCCAAAACATATCTTTCAACAAGCCACTGCCCTCATCTTTGGGGACATGGGGAAATCTATTTTCATGACAAGTTCTTGTTGCTTATAATGTTATTGTTGTGACTTCTGTCAAGACCCCAAATTCCTTCTGATCACCACAGCCATTGTAAAAAAACGATTATCAGAAAAGAACTTAAATTGAACCCCCAGTCATTTTAGGGGATTTCTGGCCTCATCATTAATTCTCCCTTACATCAAAAGGAAGGAGGAAAAAACCAGTCTAATTACCACAGTAACCCCAAGTCAGAATGTCTTTAGTCTGTAACTAAGAAGGATGCAATGCAAAATGCACTTTAATTCCAAAGCTCCCCTTCAAACAACATCCAGGTCCTAAAGAACACCTGGTAAGGACCTTGGCTACACAACCTCAGGGGGCCTGGGGCAAGTGGATCTCTGGAAACCACCCATGGTCCGATCCCAGGTCAGCAAGCATCACTCCACTACCTGTCCTTTGAAGAGGGACTCTGCCCCAGAGGGTGAGGAGAGGTACTGCCCTGGCTGTGCAGCTGCTCGTTCTAGGCTGGCACCCAGAAGAGTGGCCCTGAGAGCTCACAGCTCTAGGCCAGGGCAAAGCACTACTAGTGCAGCTTGGAGAAGTGCTTTTCAGTAACTCATGTATAGCTGGTGCGGTGATGCTTGACTGTTGTAACCCCAGTGGCTTCAGAGGATGAGGAGGATCCTTGAACTTGAGGAAGTTCAAGGCCAACCTGGGCAACTTAACGAGACAGGGATGTGCTGGGATACAGGCATGCACCACACCTGGCTTCAAAATAAAATTTTAAAAGGATTGGGGACGTAGCTCAGTGGTAGAGTACTTGCCTATCATGAATGAAGCCCTGGGTTCAGGACCCTGTCTTTATTGCTTGTGTAAAGAGATGCCCTGAGGGCCAAACCTGCCTGCCTGGGTGCTGAAGGAGAAGAGGGCTAGGTCCACGGCTCTCTCTCTGGCCCCTTTCTCCCCACTGAAGATCATCAGGCACCACAAGAGACCAGGCTCCTAGCTGACCACTAGCCGACTGCTAACAGGCCGAGACCAAGGCAAGTCAGCCAGTCCTCCCAGGGGCAGGCCATCTCCGGCCGGAATGAGCAGAGTCATGATTTGCAAGTCAAGCTGAACTCCTAGGCCATAATGATGCAGAGCTTCTTGCCTAGTCTTGGAGGCTGCCTGTGTCCCACTACAGGGTCTGTGGCACAGAAAGTGGAGAGATTCCTCTAGCTGCTTACAAAAACTCACTTGAAGTCCTTTTCACAAGTATCTGAATACACAGATTGGTGCTTAGAGTAAGAGAGGTAAGAGGCAGAAGAAAAAATGACTTTAGGAAGGCTGTTGTCTTACAAATTCTTATTCCCACCAATACCAGATGATTCAGGATTATTTCTTGAGAACTTTCTTCGGAAGATTTCCTTAGTTGTACAACTCCAGATCTTTCTTCACTGCTCAAACATGAATCCACAATTTCTCCCTTTGGGAGAGGATTATGCTGAAAATTAGTGTTGCATAAATACCGTTACCTTTTCTGGTGAAAAACTCCTTGGAATATTTCCCCAACATAGCGTATTTTCGAGGAACTTTCCCCAGCAGTTCAATGATCAATGCTATGTGATCTGCATTGGGAAACATTGCCAGCAAAACAGAAACACACGACAGTTTAATCAGTACACTGCATGCAGGCACTACCACCGCCCGCGCAGACAGAAACAGCTCGACCCGAATGATCAAGAGCAAAGGCACAGGCTTGTCTCAGGTGGTCGGACTCAGGACTTGGCTGTTCCAGGCACCAAGCAGAGGCCAGTGCACAGGGCCACTGCAGTACAGGCCAAACTCGGGCCTTCTTGTCAACTTTTGGATCAGCACAGGAATTCTGCTGGGTTGCTTTTGGAATTTAGAAGAAATGCCTTTGAAACCATTAGTGCTGCAACCAGCAGCTACTATTCCGTTTCTGTCTGCATCGTGGCGCTTTTCAAAAAGAAGAGGTACTACCTCTGCGATTGAAGAATTCCCGAGAATATTTTCCAGATAGAGCAAAGTGCCTTGGGATACTGCCTAGCAGCTCTATGATGTGGGCTATGTGGTCTATGGAGGAGAGAAAAAAAGGATATGGGAATGGGAGGGGCAGAGGGAAGGATGGGATAAAAGAAGAGGGAAAAAGTAAAATTAGTAAAAACTCAGATATTGATTCAAATCAACAATGTCTGCAGCACATCCATGCAGAGGCTCATGGGACTGGCAGGCCTCAGGCACCATCTGGAGCATCAGTGGTGACTGACACCAGCTCACCCAGTCTCCCCAGCATTGCAAGCAAGTAAGCATGGAGATGGTCAGGGTTACAAAAGGAATTCAAGCCTGAATTCCCTGGTTTTCAACTCAGCTCCCAGAGAGGACAGCAAGCTGGGCAAGAGCTCAGTGGACAAAAGGCCCGTGGAGAGGCTCTGAGGCTCACTGTGCCTGTGCTCTCCACCTGCCAGCTCTGCACTGAGCCAGGCCAGGAGGAGAAGGGCGAAGGGCTCTCCCCAGCTGCCTGTGCCAAGTGGGCACTACCCATTTGCTGACACTGAGGGGCTTCAAACTCAAGGGAAAAGTGTGTGAATTTGGAAATTGAAAACCAAAACATGACTCTGGTTCAGTAATCAACATCATACTCTCTGGAAGTGGAAGTTCAGAAGGAGGAGCAACCCCAGCCTGAGGTACTCCATGGGCAGCAACACTCACCTTCATCCCTGGAATAGTCTTCCCCGGAATGTGGTTCAAACAAATAGTCTCCAGTTGCCAGCTCAAATGCCTAGGACACAAAGACAACACGCTGAGCTCCACAGACTGCCTAAGCCAGCACTCGCTCCCCTGGGGACCTACATTTTCTGAGGCTCTCAAGCAAACCAAAGCACCTCCTAAAACAGCTCAATCTCTTCTTTATTCTTTCTCCCAAAGAGTTCAAAGACGCTCCTGGATATTTTTACATCTCTTCTCATGGAAGATGTAAGCAGTGTGTGTTCTCTTTATGCCGCAGGAAGCAGAACCACAGCTCTGAGCACAGGCCAGGTGGCCACATGAGGTCAGTCCAGGAGCCTACCAGGCCCGTCTGCACCCAGGGCCTGCCCTCTCCAGCATGCAGAGCAGGCCTTGCGTGGCAGACAATGCTGCTTTCTCAGGGCAACAATCCTTGTGTATTAGTCATCAAGGATACTTTCAGAGTCTCCTCGCTTCACTCATTTCTGATTCAAGCAAAAGAAATCCTAGAACCAAAAGGACCCTCTTCCTCTCCCCAGGCACGACAGAGCAGAGCATCTGGCAGGTGCTCCTGAGGATGTGGAGGAGAACTGCTTCCCCAGGTACACCTGCATCCCCTCAGCCTGCCAAGTCTCAAGGCTCTGAGTTTAATGTGGTATCAGTACAGAGAGACAGCAAGTGCTATTGCCCTGCTGACCAAAACTATTGTGATTTTTTTGGTTGTGTTTTGTTTGTAGTACTGGGGATTGAACCCAGGGCTTTCATACTGAGCTACATTCCCAGTCCTCTCTTTTTTTTTTTATTTTCTGATTTTGAGACAGGATCCTGCTAAGTCACTAAGTTGCCCTGGCTGGGCTCAAACTTGCAATCCTCCTGCCTTGACCTCCCACGGTGTAGAATTACAGGTGTGTGCCATTATGCCCAGCTTCAAATACTATGTTTTCAAAATTAAAAAAGAACAGGTCAAATCCCATGTATTTCCAACAAGATGCTTAAAGAAGTCTATCAACATAATGATTTTTTTAAAAAGCAAGAGGGAAGATAAACTCCTAGATCCTTGGAACATGACTAGTTTTCTTAATATGACACAGGCAAAAGGGTCAACACGTATTACAATGAATATCTCGGGGCTGTGTATTTCACAAAATGCTTTCATGCTGGCAGCTACGAAAATATGAAGCATCACTGCCCTTAACAAGTTACTTCCAAATAAACATTATTATTATTTTTTTAATGCCTGGATTCATCCTTCTGGGCTCAGCCCAGTCCCTTCAGGGAGCTTTCCCCTGAAACAAAGTCTGTTCTCGGGTTCTTGGGAGGTCAGAGGCCTATTTCCTGAAATGCCTTCCTGTATCAAAGCACCTAGTTCTGAATAAATAGCGATGTGCCCTGTGGTGAAGTTTGGTGAAGCTTGTCTTTCAGGGTTGTGTGGCACTGACCGGACTCTCCAAGGAGTCCATACAAAGCTACCTACTGGGGGCTAGGAGTCATGAATGTGGAGGAACAACTTCTCAGCCCACGAAGACTCCAAGGTCACACGCTACTCAGCTATGTCTGGAAAGGCCCAGAGCCCACGAAAAAGGAAAACAGACCCAACAACTGCCTCATTCTATTGCGCTCCAGCTCCAGAGTGCAAATACCAGCCTTGATAACAGCAGGGGCACCAGCTGCCCCCCATCACCATGTGCAGTGACACCTCTCTGACTCGATGCTGTTCGTAATGCTTGGAAGGACAGTAGGCTTTACCACTGTTGTGGCTTGTGTTTAGATGTCCCCCCAAAGCCTCATGCAGATGAGGTGGGACTTTCTCAGAATTAGTTGAACCTGGCATGTGTGTTGCTGGGGTTAAGGGCTGTGATTAGTAAACCACTACACGTGAGTGAGTGGTTTGGCACCACCCTAATCCCAGTAGTTTGAGTAAGATAAAAGGGGCAAAAAGATCCTGTTAAATTCTCTTGTCCCCTTTGCTACCTTGTGTGGGCCATGTTGTTTCTCCTCGGCAAGGCCTGTTTGCCATCCCTGTCTTGGAACCAGCCGACTGTGGACTGAAACCTCTACAAACTGTGCGCCAAACAAACCCTTTCCCCTTTAACTTTTGGTGTCCAGGAATATTGTTTCAGCAACGAGAGAAAAGTAACTAACACAACCACCAAGAACAACCTAAGGCTTTGTTGAAGTTTTGTATTAAGAAGTCCAATTTCATGTAATGCAATGTGGAGAGAACTCCCAGCTGGAGCCTTCAAGGGCAAGGAATGAGGGCTTGCCCCCTTCTTAAAGCCACCTGGTCAGAAAGAAACCCGTAGGCAGCTGCTGTGGTGCCAGGGGAGGCCCCTGCACACAGAGGAAGGGGACAGAGCCTGCTTTTCCATGGGCTTCAGTAACGGACTCTCGGGTAAACACAACCACATAACAGCACTGGCAGATAAGGGGCTGGTGTGCGGGGACAAGACAGACAGCCTCGCCTCAGACTGTAGTGACAGCTCTACCACTATCCCTACACATCTGTGATTCTGTCCTATTTTTCTGGTTACATCACCAAATTTAATATCCAAAATTAGAAGCACAAGACTTCAGAGTTCAAAGAGTTTTCAGAGCCTAATTCAGGGCAGCCCTGATGTGCGGCCTTCTGTGCTGTGGGGGACAGTGCCGCTTGGGCCGCTGCCTCAAGAAGGGACACTCCCCTGCCGCTGGCCGGGTCTGGGTCTTCCACACAGCAGTCTCCAAGTTCAAAGTGCCCACCACACCTGCCTCTCCACGCCTCGAAAGGCAGGGAGCTGGCTTGTGAAACTCACTGAAAAGCTACATTTCTAATAATTTAAAATTATCTGGCATTATCTCCCAGAGCAGTAAGGGACTAAAGTGTTTCAGATCTACTTGGCCCTGTCTACTGCCTCAGATCATGCTACCTTGGAGACACAAAACATCTACTTTTTCTCATATTGTCTGACACTATCTGCTTGAAACAATGCTTTTACTTCACATTACGGAACAAAACAATACAGTGTACTCAAAAGAACTGTCAACCTCCCAACAACAGAAAACTCACATTCACTCTGTGTGGCTTCTGTCTGGGAGAAGGTGCCACAAGCTGCACATGGGAGCTGTTTCTTCAGGCACCAGAGGACAGGAAACCGCACAAATGTGACACTCCACACAATGCCACATGTGCACACCCCACCTTCTCTAGCACAGCAGCAACAGGAAAGCCTAATGAAGGCAAGGAAGGAGCCCAACGAGCCAGTGAACAGGGTGAGAGAGAAGGGATGAAGGACCATTCGTGTTTATTAATTCACAGGTGAGCAGCAAGGGACGAAGGTGCACTGGGGGAGTTTGGACACTGAACTCGGGATGCACAGGGGAAAGGAGCCGTGCTCTGCGGCCCCAGGAAAGCACCTCATGCTTTCTACAAGAAACTCAGTCTGAGTACGACGTGTCGGTGGCTGTCTCAGAAGTGACTGCAAGTCCCATGAGCAACCCGAATCCTCTCTAGGTTTTGCTTTACAAAGAGGGACTGCTCACTGGCCTATAGGAATCCCTTCCGGCCAGCAAGCAGAGAAGGAGGCCACATTTCTAGCCAACCCAGCAGAGCAGAGCGCTCACCTCCTGGCCTCGGACAACCCTCCTGAGAGTGGCAGTCTCCTTTCTGCCTTCTGGGCCCAGGTGAGAGGGAAGCCCCACACAAGCTGTCTGCGTTCAGGGATCAAGAGCAATTCTGTGAAGTCTGTGTGGCACAGTGAGTGACCCTCAGGGCGCTGGGCTGCACCCATCACTCACGAGGACCGGCCCAAACAGCATGATGGCAGGGCCCATGTGAGGAGCGTTCCTCTTGCCCTAAGACCCAAGAGACACAGACCTGGGTGGCTGAGCTTCACGTTTGGAAAGCTGAGCCCATGCCCCTCCATAGCCCTCCTCCCCACCAGGAGTGCAGAAGGGAAGAGCCGAGAGACAGAGAACATGGACGAGAGCCCCGCCGCCCTTACCATGCACGCTGTGCTCCAAATGTCTGCAGGTGTGCTGTAGCCTGCTCCTATCAGCACCTCTATGGATCTATACTGACGCGTCTGGATGTCCTCGGTGAAGTGTTTATGCTGGAAAGGAACACAGGCATTACCACAGAGGAATACAGGTATTAGGAAAGGGAAAATGTCTTCTCCCACAGAATCATGACCAACATGTTCTTTTGTTTTTTGTTTTGAGACAGTTTAGGGTGGCCTTGAACTCACTATGGTGCCAAGGCTGGCCTCAAACTTATGGCAATTCTCCTGCCTCAGCCTCCCTAGTGCTGGGATTACAGGTGTGTGCCATCAGGTGTAAGTCATGAACAGCATGTTTTAGAAAGAAAACTGTACTTACCACCCAACAAGCATTTCCCAGGTCAGCAATTTTTACTCTAATTTTATCTGCATTCCGAGGATCCAGGGGGTTCACCAACAAGTCGGCCGCCCGGGTCTTTGCTGGATGGGCAAACAGCAGGAGAGTTAGTGACTGAGTCGAGGGGTCCCCATGGCACACAATGTCTGCCAGGTACAGAACCTCCTTTTGTAGAAGTGCAAAAAGGACCTGGAATCATATGGACCCAGAATCTTGCTCAGCTGAACTCGACAAAATTCAATGTCTTCTGTCTCCAACTCTGGAAATGTTTCCACACGGAGAGTGACCTGGACTGCCCAGAGGACACTCCCCACCCCTCCTCCTCTCATCCTCCAGGTCAGCCCTGGGGGGGGGTCTCCGGTCCACATCTCGGGGTGCCCCTCATCTGATCAGAGCCCACTCCCTGACGGCATCACTGCCAAGGACAGGGAGGTGCACAGAATGCAGCCACCAGCTCAACTCCCCAGGCACAGCTCACCACTTGGTCCCCAAGCCCCTGAGCCTGAGGCGCCCAAGGCTCCTGAAGCATGGGCGGAACACAAGCACACCGAGTGTGGGACAACAGCTGATTAACACAAATTCAAGGTGGGGACTAATCTACTGTGGCTTAGTTTTGGCCAAGAAAGACTCCAGAGGTCTCCTTCGTTGGCCTGGGGCGTAAAGGCAACCTCTGAGATCACATGTGAACTTGTCACATACTCAGGTCACTCATCAATTTCAGGGTGGCCCCAAGGGAATCTCCACTGCAGGCAAAAGTCAGGGCCTCACGGTTCCCGAGCTACAACTTCCTAGGTAAGTCCAAACCATGGTTTGGTTATCAAGTGCAGTTGGCCAGTGGGGAGCTGACAAAGAAGGTGGTGAGGTCCAGAATGGAGGCCTGAGACCAGGTTAGCATCTTCACCACCAACCACAATCTGCCACATGAGCAGATTTCTGGTGAGGTTCAAATGTAACTGTGGCTTTGATTACAGAAGCAATTGTGAAATAGTACTTACAGATTAAGCAGAAAAGTTTGCTCAACACAGAACATCCATCCAGGCAGCCACTTGTAGGGTCCCTCTGCTCACTCAAAGCTGGGCACTGCTAGCGTGACCTAAACCTCTTTCAGGGCACACGGAACTGTGCTCCCCCAGGGCTCGAGGAGGCCCACTCCTTGGCACTCCCCACGCAGGAAGACAGGCCAGCCTTGCTGACCTTAGCAAAGGGGACAGCAGCAAGGCCAGGCCAGCCTTGTGTCCCACAGTGCTGGAAGAATTCTGCCCGTGTTTTAGTTCTCAAGATGTGCTCCTCTTCCCATCTGCCCTATGCCTGCGTCCCTTTGTATAAGGGTGCTGATCTACTGTGGGGCCTCGCTGAAGGCAAGGTTTGAGCTGAGGAAAAACCAAAGGCATCTGGAAGATTAGGAGAAAGAAAGCAGCAGAGAGACCCACAAGAGAAGGCAAAATGTGTAAGGGGTCAGAACAGTGCTCTGGAATAGGCATAAAAATGCTGACTTCCAATGGGGAAATGGACCACACCAAAAATGGCTAGATGAATCCCTCCTGATACTAAACCAAGAACCGTCAGCAGGAATTTGAAACATGCAGAACTGCGCTCAAATCTAGGTTTCTATACCTACAAATTTCAAGACTGGAAATGACAAATCCCAAGCTATTTTCAGGAAAGAGGAAAGGGGAAGGAACCACTCCTCCCAAAGGAACAAAACCCAAAAACAAGCAGGAGAGTCTGCATGGCATTTGGTGCTGTGACCGGCTGAGCGGCCCTACGAGCAAAGTGGAGGACCAGCAGGCAGGCAGAAAGGTGTGGGTGCCCAGGGTCCCCTGCACACAACTCAGGGAAGAGGGGACCCTGTTAGACATCCTGTGGCCCCCTGAACTCCAGGAAGATCTGCTTTCTTTTTCTCCATGAGAATGGGAAGTGAGTTGGCTGTTATCTGAAGGTACTCAAGTGAAAGAGCTCATCTGTAATCTGCCACCTACTCCTAGCTGTTGATTTTAAAAACACCTCCCAGGAGCTTTGTAATTCAATTATGCTAGAGGAAGTATACTGTCAGAGACACTTATCACCACACATTTAGATACAGTTTCTTTGTATTAAATATCCCTCATTTGTGTTCAGTGAGCAAAATCTCTTTGGTGACATGCTATTATCCTCCTGGTCCAGGTTTGTAAATAGTTATTCTACTCACAATGTGTTCTAAATGATACCAGGTAATTTATCTCAATAATTTAATTGCATAAGAACACAACAGGAGGGAAAAGAGATTCTGCTTGTATTTCTGATTTCTCTTCTCAGTGTGATAGCTTTTGTGTTCAGGAACTGCCTGCAACACTCCACGAGGCCCACAGCAACACAGGGACACTCGCTTGCTGCAGAATCATTCCAATTTGGCTGTGCTGGGAATCAGATCACCTCCTCTCATTGAGGCACACCTGTGATGATCTGCCACTGCTCTCCCTTCCCACTAATAATGCAAAAACAAACAACAAACTGGCAATGTCTCCCTTCCAAAAAGAAAAGCCTGCAAATGTTCTCTGCTTCCACCAAGTAAGTGGGAAGATTTCAGGAAGGTCTGGGCTTTTAGTTTTATCCTGGAAGTGGGAAAATTTTAGAACTACTGAGATCTGAATATGTGATGAATAGTAATACATATTATAAATGTAATATATATTCTTACATATGATAGTGATAAGTATGACAGAGAAATGTCCTAACTCATCTTGCAGGGGATGCCGAAGTATCTTTATATCTACAGTTATAGCATGCAGTTTCAGTATAAAGTAAATTTATAAGCTTGGCCTAATACTGTAGGCCTGTAATCCCAGCACTCTGGAAGGCCTGAGGCAGGAGGATCTCAAGCTCAAGGCTAGCCTGGGCATCTGAGTGACTTAATGAGACCCTGTCTTAAAATACAAAGCTACAGGGCCAGAGATTTAGCTCAGTGGTTCTGCTGCCTGCCTTGCAAGCACAAGGTTCCAAGTTCGATCCCCGGTACAAAAAAACAAAACAAAACAAAGCTACAAAATGGGCCAGGGATGTAGCACAAGTCCATACTGCCCTCCCCACAATAATAATAATAATAATAATAATAATAATAATAATAATGATGATGATGATGATGTGGCAAAACGTTAACATGGGACCTGTGTAAAACACAGAGTTTTTTACTGTTTTATTCTTTCAAAATATTTGTTAAAAATACAAAGATAAGCTAACAATCCCTTCCTGCACTTCCACAGATGGTGCTGGTTCCTCATGGACGCAAACGCCCTGCTATGGAGATTGAGTGCTTGAGGCTGAGGGGAGCTGTAGAGTAAAATGATCTGATCCGCACTCTTACAAAAACGCTCTTGAAGCAACTGGGAGCATCAGTCAGAAGGCAGGAGGGCCGACAACCAGAGAGCACAGAGCTGAGAGACCATCAAGGCCCTCTTGGTTAGCAAGCTCCGATGGCTGGATGTGATAATTTCCGGGTGCAAAGGGAAAGAAGAGGACTGAGGAAGACCAGGGGACATTGCACATTTAGCTAGCTGGCAGGGTAAGATATCCTGGTTTTGAGTGTTAAATCTGAAGTCCCCGTGACCTGGAGTAGGAGCTGTCACACAAGCTGTTGGGGAAGTAGCCCTCCAGCACAGGAGAGCTGACCAGAACGTCTGGCCAGCAACACGCCGAGGATCAGGACCTGTCTAGGAGCCTGCGGGTACCCTTGCCCAAGGCCTGCTACTCCCAGAGCACATCACACCCCTGGGGAACCCAGCCATGGGCAGGGACTCCCAGCACCCACAACAGGGTCTGCACACTGCTGGGACTCAGCAGGCACTGACTGAGTGAACAGGGAGGGACGGGCCATCAAGGCCACTCAGAAGGCCACAGAAACCATGGGCTGGTGCTGGTCGGGGGAAAGAAACTGCCAAGTGTCAGGAGAACGGGCTAAGACCAGAGATCAGGGGGACACCAACAAGTAAGATGCCTGAAGAAGACCAGGACACTGCTCAGAGGTTTGGCAGGACAGAGTGAGGCCTGGGAAGCAGAGGCGGGCACAGGCTTTCGGTCACAGCCTCACACACATCGAGAGACGGTGCCTGCTTCCTGGCGGGGTGCAAGCATTCCACAAACAAGCAACACAATGAGTTCATCTGTCTCAGAAAGATTTTACATCTTGCCTAAATTAGAACATTTTCTCTTATCACCCATTTATTCATCCACCATCATTTTTTTTCCTTCTTCTTTCTGTTGTTTTTTTTTTTGAGAAAGGGTCTCACTATGTAGTTTAGGCTTGCTTTGAGCTCACTATGCAGTCCAGACTGGCCTTGAGCTTGCAGCAATCCTCCTGCCTCAGCCTCCCTAGTGCCAAGAATACAGTTGTGTGCCACCACGCTCAGCTCAACTACCACAATTTTAAATTTTCCTCTATTTTTCTTTTTCTGTGAGAAATTTTTCTTTTCAGGCCTAAACTTATACCTACTCTACTTTCCCAGTTTGAATAATAATGTGTTGACCAAAGCTAGACCCGGAGTCAGGAGCCAGGAGCCTGTGCTCAGGATTTCACGAGATACTAGCAAGTGACTTTGCTGAACTTTCTCACTTGCCTGGGCCCCAGATTCTAACACAGCAGACCAGTAGTAAATGTGCCCCTTGCTCAGTTTGTAGCAACTACAAGACATTAACAGAAATTTCATAGATACTACATTATGTGTTTATCTATAGTATTTTTTTTAAGAGCAGGAAGACTTTATTGAGAGAAAGATAGCTTCTAAGAGAGACAGAAGGGGGACCAGAAAGTGGGTTGCCCCTTTATCTATAATATTTTATTCAACGTAGAGGTAGCTATTTCTTTCCTTAGATAGAGGAAGAAACTGAGGCTCAGGGAGGTTACAAAATGAAAGTCCCATATAGCTATTAAGTTTTGAGCTGGGATTTAATCTCATATATCATATATCTAAAGCCACTACCCCAAGCTGCCACTTGGAAAATAACGAAAAAGGTACCTTGTAAATTATTTTCTGTATGAGTCTATAAATAAGGTAAAAATGGAACTATCACTGCAGCAGTAAATGTGGAGAGGGTACAGTTCACTGGACCTAACCATGCCCTGCTAAGTGAAAGAAACACACTAGGATGATTAGTTACAGCTGGCTTGGCCTGTCTCAGGTACAGGTCAATGGCCTGCACAATGGAAGGGGCTGCAGAATTTCCTGGGCTACTCGCAGGGGTCCCCCATTAATTACTCACTGTGGGTTAAGTACTCTTATCAGCAGAGGGAGCAGAGGTGGTTTCTGAGCTTTTTCATTAGGGGCCAGAATAGAAACCAATGGTGACGCCTAGTTTTCACTTACTGAAACCAGCCATGTGGAATTTTCCATGTGGCACTCCCAAAATAAGAGTTCGCAATAAGACGGCCTCAGGTAGACAAGAGCACAAGATCCAATCTGCAATCCAGCATATGTTTAAATCCATGCCATTACATCCTGGGCCAGTTATCAATAGCAGGGTTCTAGAATCTGGGACAACTGTCAAGCTAAATCACAATACTTCTTTCTCAAAGTGCCAAAGAACATGCAGATGTTCTCTTGAAGAGAAAACAAGCAGATGTTCTCTTGAACAGAAAACAAAGGAAACTAAATGTAACACTATCAGATGGAAGGGGTGAAAGCTACAACGTTGTTAGAACTAGAGGGTTTTTGCAAATGTTTGATGTCACTGACTAAATCAAGAATGAAAAAAGCTCAGAAATGAGGTTTCATATACACAGAGTAAGAGAAAGCCTAGTGTCACAGAGTATTTTTAATTTTTTTTTTAATTTTTATTTTTTTTGGTACCAGGGATCGAACTCAGGTCCTTGTGCTTGCAAGGCAGGCAGTGGAACCACTGAGCTAAATCCCCAGCCCACACAGAGTATTTTTAAAGCACATTACTTGCTCATGAGTATAAAAGCAAGAAAATGAAAATGGTTAGTGTACGCAGCTTCACCACCTTCAGCCAATTCTTTAGCAGCACCCATCCACAACACAGCTCTGGGCCAATGGAAGCAGACAGTGGGTGGGAAAGAACACTTACTTTTTGGCAAATCCCCAGTACTGGAGGCTGAAACCGTCCTGCTTCTGTCATGGGAAGGACTGCTTTCTTCCTGCTCGGTAAGTGGCGATCCCTCGGAAAGCACAGAGCCGCAGGCCACAGGTTCTAAAGGCCCAGAAAACAATGAGGTGGGAAACTCTGGATACTGGGACTCTGAAATCTTATGCTGTCCGTTTGGCAATTCACCATTGAATTGTTCATAGGAACTGCTATATGTGTAATCACTTTCTGCATTTGGCTCATCAAGGTTATACTCCTCGGGATTTGGGCAGTCATCTTCATCATCCTCTTCATCTTCCAGCTGCTGTTCCAGTAAGAATGGGCCATTCTCAATATGGCCATTTGTTTTGGGTGACTCGATCCATGTAGGGTCTATGTTCCCAAGTTCTTGATCGACATCATCTTCATCCTTCTCAACATTTTCTTTCTCAGCATCTTCTTTCTCTTCCTGGTCTTCAGCTTCACCTTAAAAAGTTGACAGGGTAGCAATTAGGACTTGTTATTCTCCTCAAGAAGAGGCACTAGGCACTAACCTCCCTCAACATGATACACTCTAATATGGTTCATTTATGTACCACAAAGTCAATACCTCCCAGTTCTCAGAGTAAAACCTTCAGGTGTTCTAAATCTTATTTTTTACTTATTTAACAAGCAGTCTACTCTTCTTGGGAAAAGCTTTTGGGAAGCCAGGTATAGAGGTGCATGCCTGTAATTCTAGAATTCACTAGGCTAAGGCAGAAGGATCACTGCAAGTGCAAGCTCAGCCTAAACTACACAGTGAGTTCAAAGCCAGTCTGCACTACATAGCAAAACCCTATCTCAAAAAAAAAGCGCTTTTGGACCAATTAATGTAATGTATCACAAACATATACTAATAAAAAAAGAAACAAAAAGCACTTTTGGGAAAAATATTTTTATAAATAAAGTTGGATTTCTACCCTTTCCTACAGGAAAAAGGTTTATGATGCAGTACCGTTAGGCAAAAGGTTTATCACTAAATAAAGGACAGGCCATTGTTAGCATGACAGAAACAGTGTTTCTCAGGCACTATCATTTTTTGAAAACTACTCAGAAATGTAAGCATACGCCTGGTATGTACACTGTAAATAAAGCACAGGCTGTTTCCCATATTCCTCAAATAAGGAAAGGCGGGGACTCCATCATATCTGAAGCAGCAGCACAAAGCCATCCTATGTGGTGACCCAGCTGGTCCCTATCTATGCAGAGCCTGGGGTCCCAACAGCCCCATCTCCAGGTCCCACTGACCATTGTCCTTTGCGGTCTCTTCCTCAGCCGTCTCCTCTAATCCTGCTTTTAGTTTCACCTCTGTGCAGAATTCATCATCTTGCTCATTGGAAGGTACAGAAGAGCTGACGTTTTCCTCTATTATTTTCCTTTCAGCTTCTCGCTCCAATTCTTCTATCTCCTGCAGGCGTTTTTCCAATAACTCAGCCTGCCTCTTCTGTTTCTTTTTCAGCTTTTTCTTCTTATTTTTAGATATTTTTCCTATCTACAACATGTTAAGAAAACATCATAGGTCAGTTTGCTCTTTTTAAAGAACCACATCACAGTACAAGTGCTGGTAGCACGGAAAACAACAAATGCTAATTTTTCACATCATACTGAATGAAATTTGTAATCCCAGACAGAAGATCCATCTTTGTGGTTAGGATTTTGGTAGAAGAGAAAGCAGTACTGGCTCGTATCAGGTGCTGGGTCTACTATCAGGTCTGGCACTCAAGGGACATAGCTGAGATCACCAAGGCTTCACCATTTAAACTCTAGGAAAAAATGAATATCCTAAAATAATCAGCTTTAAGCAAGAAGGTCCTTTTGCCTACACACAAAGTAGCACATTCTAACTTCCTAACTGACCAAAAAAAGGAAAGCCTGCCAAAACAAGTAGTGAGCAGCACTGCTTAAGTTTTGCTCTCATGTACTGAGGTGTTATCAACAGCCAGACAACATGAACTTTTGTTTTCTTCCGAGCTGAGGCAATATCAAATAAGGTTCATTGTCAAATAGTAAGTTTTTGTTACTCTGCTATACCACTTGGTACCACAATAATGATACTCAATGTAGACAACATGAACTTTAAGAAATGAGCACACTGAGTAAAAGGGTTAAAAAAACTTAAAAAAAAAAGACTTTGTTTGCCATCACCTGGAGCCATACACAATTCTGGGGATGAGAGCCTCCCAAGCTTCACAGGATTGGGAAACCCACGCCCTCAGGCCAGAGGCGATCCTGGGTGACTCGGGACCTAGTAGGCCAGAAGCCCGACTCTCCCTGCCCCTCACACCAGCACTTCCATTACAAAGTGAGGGCTATTTGTTGGACACAATTTTCTGAAGGAACCACAATATAGGCAACATTCTCTCATTTGTAAACACCTAGTTGGGCCAGGGATTTAGCTCAGTGGTTTCACTGCCTACTGCGCAAGTGCAAGGACCCAAGTTCGATCCCTGGTACCAAAAAAGAAACAACTAGCTGAGAAAAACATTAGGATAACTGTGTCAAAAAACCAGGTAACGTGGATGCCAATAAGTAATGTAAAGTGATTTTGGAATAATCACACTTCAAACTTTATCACCCCTCACCCCCAGAAGGAATGTAAGAAAGACTGATCTTGCAATAGTTTTGATTATTCCAATTCTGTAGAGATCATTTCAATTTTTTTTTTTTTTTTTTTTGGCACCAGGGACTGAACTTGGGACCTTGTGCTTGCCAGGCAGGTGGTGCCACCACTGAGCTAAATCCCTGGCCCTTTTTCAATTTAAATTAAGGCTACAGAGTCTTTATAAACACATCTACTATTTATTTATTTACAGTACCAGAGATCAAATTCAGGACCTTGCACTTGCCAGGCAGGTGCAGCGCCAATGAGTTACATTCCCAGCCCATCTACCTTTTAATTTAATATACATTAACATATCTGTTGTAATTTGAAAAGCCCAATAGTCCCACTCAACAGGTTGAATAAAAGTATAGGTAGAAGTACTTACAGGTTTTTGCTGTGGAGCTGTACTCACTAAAACAAAATAAAACAAAATGAATGTTTAGAAGAAAACAGATACATATTTTCAGGTAATTCAAATAGCAAAATGAAATATTTTTTTTTTCTTCTCTGATGTTCTGGGAATCAAACCCAGAGATGCTCTGCGACTGAGCTATACCCTCAGCCTTCTTATTTGTTGGAGATGGGGCCTTGCTAAATCACGAGAGTGGCCTTGAACTTGTGATCCTCTTGCCTCAGCTTTCCAAGTAACTGGGATTATAGGCTTATCCCACCATACCCAGGAACTACTGCCTTTCAATGGCTATCAAATTCAAAAACGTAAAAAACAAAACAAACAAAAAAACAGGGTTTCTTTACAATGGGGATCTAGAGGAACTTTATCCAACTCAAAAAAAGAAAAAATGAGTGACTCTTAAAGGGCACAGCAAAAGCTGTTCATACTGAGCCATTTCAAAACCAGTCAGTGACAATTCTTAAAAATAGATCCAGGGGGCTGGAGATTTAGCTCAGTGGTTCCATCGCCTGCCTCACAAGCGCAAAGACCCGAGTTTGATCCCCAGTACCAAAAAAACAAACAAAACAAACAAAAATAGATCCAGGCAGGCCAGGGATTTAGCTCAGTGGTTCCGGGCACCTGCCTCACAACTGCAAGGTCCCGAGTTCAATCTCCGATACCAAAAACAAAATTAAAAAAATTAGATCCAGGCATAGTAGTGGACACCTATAATCCCAGAAGCTGGGAAGCTGAGACAAGATGATAACCACAAATTCGAGGCCAGCCTAGACTACACAGTGAGTTCAAGGGCAGCCTCGAATATATAGTGAGACCCTGTCTCAAAAGGCCAAAAAAGGGGAGAACAGTTCATAAATTAGTCACCAGACCAAATTTGTTTATAGACAATTAAATGAACAACTTAGATGAGAAGATGGACATCTGTGTTTGAAATCTAGTTGGCAAGTTTTATACAACTAACCTAAATCAAACAGAACAGCAAGTTGCAGCAATGGTTCTTGGAATCACATTACACTCCTATCATCGTCATCAAAAGCTTGACTGACTGATTCCGTGATCTAAATAACACTGATTGCAGCAGATGAGATGTGGTGAGTGCACATCTCTCTGGAGCCCCACTGTTTCCATCTGTATGCTTACCTGACAACACGAGGGAGAGGGCAGGTTACATGAAGAGTACAAAAGCACAGCCAATGCCTTACTGCCACCATTCAGAAATAAAACTCTATGCTAATACTTGAATCTCACTTGGTCTTCTTTCCCACACTCTTAGAATTTTAAGTACATACTGATACAGCTATGATAACCAAAGAGAAGGTTGCATTCTAAAAAACCTGAAACTATAATAATTCTGATGACTACAGATTGGCTGTAAGAATCTGGTTTCCATATTCTCCATAGAAAAGTGGGCAACACAAAAGAAAATCTTCAAGTATAGATGAAGCACCAGCCAATTTAGATAAGTCTTGGGGTGGGGGGTAATTGGGGATTGAACTGAAGGCCTGAATTAAACTACATTTCTAGCCCTTTTATGGGGTCTAGTTAATAAGTCTCTAAATTGCCCATGCTGGCCTCAAATTTGTGATCCTCCTGCCTCATCCTTCCAGACTGCTGGGATTGCAGGCATGTGCCGCCATGTCCAGCTTATTTTAATGAAGAACAAAGGTAACCAATTCAAATATTAAAATATGATTTAACTGGAACACCTTCTCAAGAAAAAGATCCAGTTATTTCTAGAAAACAAGCTGTTATAAAAAGTTCCTAATATACTTGTACACGTCTGACTCAATTACCTTCAGGGGGCAAGTCTGGAAGGTCACAGTGACCCAAGCAGAGAGAAACACAAAGACCCAGCTCCCTCACCTGCAGACCCTGAAGGAGGAGGAGCACCTGCTTTCTGCCACTCCGTGGCCTCTGCTGCCATTCTTCTCACATATGCATCATCCACACACATCAGGATGTTTTCTGGCTTTATGTCAGTATGAATAATCTTGCACTTACTGTGTAGATAATCTAAACCTTGGAGGACCTGTTCACAGTAGAATCAAGAAGGAAAGAAGCTATTAATACCTTGATTATTAAACTTGTGAAATAGGTAATATAAACACATGATATAAAATTCAATACAGATATAGTAAAAATCCCCCTCTCACTCTGGCCCCCATAGGAATAGCTCTCCTTTCTAAAGCAGCCACTGTCTATCATTCCAGAGAGAATTTATGCTAATGGAAGCAAACGTATCTCTATAATCACTGCTTTAATAAAAACTTTATTGAAAAATAATTCACATATCATATAATTCATCCTTTAAACAAACAATTCAATGCTTTTCAGATGTGCAACCATCACTGCTAATTTACAAATTTTCACTGCTCTAAAAAATACCACACCTACTAGCAATTACTCCTCATCTCCCTCCAACTCTACCAGCCCTAACAAATCACTAATCTACTTGCTGATTCATTTAAATAGAACCATACAGAGTGGTCTTTTGCAACCAGCATAATGTCCAAGACTCATCCTGGTATAGGATATATCAGTATTTCATTTCCTTTTACTACCAAATGATATCCCATTGTATGGATATGCGACTTTTTTTGGTTTTGTTTTTTTGGGGGGTTTTTGCTTCGTTTTTTGAGAGAGGGTTTCCCTATATAGCTCAGACTGGCCTTGAACTCACTATGTAGACTAGGCTAGCATCGAACTCATGGCAGTTCTCCTGCCTCAGTCTCCCAAGTGCTGGGATACAGGTGTAAGCCACCATGTAGATATGTGACATTTTGTTTATCCATTCATTTAATGGACACCTGGACTGTTTCCACATTTAGGCTAGTAACAATACTACTGCTATGCACATTCACGTATAAATTTTTGTGGGGACATATCTTTTTATCTATAAAACAAATTTGCTTCAGTGAGTATGTGATTTGTGAACTCTTCTATTAACTGGTTGGTCAATGCTTTGAGATTGACTATTTAAATCTACATTTGCCTTTGGATGATCACTGTTTTCTACAGTCACTGCACCATTTTATATTCCCACCAGGTAAGTAGTGGGTATGTATGTATGTATGTATGTATTTTAAGACATTCTAGTGAGCATGGCGTGTCATTTCATTTCACGGTGATTTTTGTTTTGTGAGACAGCAACTCACTATGTTGCCCAGGATAGTCTTCAACTCTTGAGCTCAAGTGATCTTCCTGTCTCAAGCTCCTGAGTAGATGGGACTATAAGCAGCCATCATACCCGGCTTACACTTCAGTTTTGATCTGCATTTCTCTAGTGGCTAATGATTTGCATACATTTTCAATATTACCGAAAAAGAAGGTAAATAGGTAATATAATCACATGGTATAAAATATCCCTCAGGAAGGGGTCCAAGGGAAAGGGGTAGGGAAGGACTGAAAATGAGGAAGATATACCAGTTTCCCAAAACAAACATCAATATTGTGAAATATAAACATGTACTAATAAAAAAATCAATATCTAGATAGCACTATAGCATTAATACAAAGTAATGAGCCAAAATATTTACATGCTTATCACATTAAAACAAATAAAACCTCATAGAGTCCCACTGATCTAAATGTAAGGTCAACATTTTTCTCAAATCATCTTTCACTAAAGGGTCTTTTCAATTCTTTCCATAATCAAAATTTAGCTTTAAAATAAATGTTTCCATATACTAGAAGTTCTAAAGTCATAACATATCAACATAAAAGCCACTCAGGCATCTTGTCCAAAGAGACAGTAAGTGTGAAAGAGGTAAGCAAAAGATAGACAACACCTTCCAGCACTGGAAAATTCCCAGCAAATCCCCAATGTTTCTGCTAATTTACTCTCACGGTCAACACATTACAAAGGGTGAAGGAATAGAGATTCTAGAAGGAAAATGAATAGAGAATATCTGTCTCTTGAGTAGGTATTAAAACCCCTACAATCACTTAAGGGGGAAGTACTTTTACATGAACTCATCACTGAAAGAGCACCATCTGGACTCTGATCTGTGATGTGTGCATGTAGCAGTAAACAAAGACCCTGGTCTTCAGGGTGCTTATAACCTTCGTGTCCTCAGCTTACCCACTCACGTCAAAGCATGGGGACTGAGGACTGGGCAAAAGAGAACCCAAATGAATCACACACACAATAAATCTATTCTAAGAAAATACAAAGATACTGACAACTTGCTAGTTGAGTATGAGTAAAATGAAAGGGAAAAAAACTTAAGACTTTTTTTTTTTGAAAGAGGGTCTTGCAATGTAGTTCAGGCTAGCCTTGAACTCACTATGTAGCCCAGGTTGGCCTCGAACTCACAGTGATCCTCCTGCCTCAGCCTCCTCAGTGCTGGGACTACAGCCGTGCACAACCATGCCTGGCAAAAAAAAACTTAGACTCTAAAACTGATTTTTTTTAACCTATTGTTTAAAATAATACTTCAACTATATTTTAAGTTATATTTAAAATGTCAAGGGACCAACAGTAAGAAAATATCATTACGTATTTCCATAAAAAAGGTTATATTCATGAAAGGAACATAGTCTAGAAGGATTATATACCACTCACAGACATTTCATTATCTTCCTTGTACAACTAAGTAATGATGTAAATAAAGTGTTTATAGCTGAACAAAATAAGTACAATAAATTAATGAATAGGCTCACCGATGACATCCAATCCATAAAAGCCAAAGGAACAACATTTTGAAGAAATTTCAAACCATTTAAAATTATTTCAACTAAAATTTCCTTTCAGTTATCTGATATTGACCTGAAGTAAAAACATTAGTATCATCCTTTGGAAACTAAGATATCTTCTCAGGGGCTTTTCATGCACATAAATTGACCTTATCTTTCCACCTTTGCTGCTTTCACAGTTTAAAGACTTCCACTGTGTGGGAAGCTACACAAGTAAGAGCTAACATGACTCAGTATGCAAATGTATTAACAGGAGTTCACAATGATAATGATGTCCTCAAAGTGTTCTCAGTAAAAATGGTCCAGATTTCTAAAATATTGATTATTGGATTCAGATGGGCTACCCTTTCTTAAAAAGCACTGGCTATGTCTGACAATATAAAACAAAGACCTGACAGCACTTGGGGAAACTAGTTAACAATCCTAATCATTAAAGAGATGCAGCTTAGTATTAAAACATATCGCTGGGACTCAGACCACCCTTAAACTGCTACTGAAACATTCATTCATAACCTGAGAAAGGTGCTTTACCCTGAGCGTCTACTTCCTTTCTATAAAAGGGAGACACATATCTACCTACACACAAATATAGCAAAATTTAGAAATAACCTGAAAAACAAAACAAAAACAAGCAAGATCTAGCACATAGGAAGCTCAAAACAACATAACTGAACTAAGTCAGAAGACTTGTACTAATATAACTATACTTTCTTAATTTATTAAATTTCTCTGGATCTCAGTTGCCTCAACCCCTAATATAAAAGGGCTTTGCTGATAACTTTTATGGGGGATCCCAGCAATAAAACTCTGACTTCACAATTTCTTTGAATTTTGAACTGTTTTTTAAAAAGTCTTTAGCTGTAGCTAAAAGGAATGCTTTTATTTTCAGTAATAGCATTTCTATTCTCAACCAGTGAATTTTGAAGTATTAAAGCACCCCAGATTGACACTGATGGGAGATTTTAATAACCGTTTGTGCAGAATAATCCTGATGATGGAAAAATAAAAACAATGAATCAAGCTTCATGTCCAAGGATAGATCATCTCTTGGAAAATCTGACAAATAGCTAACAGGAGCCTTTACTAGCTTTTCCCTCTTTGTCTTCCTTTGTCAGATCACACCTGCCTAGCGTCCCAAAAAACCTTGCATGGTGTCTGCAGCAGGAGGCAGCAGGGATCCACTGGTTACTAGGAAAGCTGGGACAAATCCAACCACTGACAAGCCCAGGGACAAGGCTGGCAATGACCCACTCTGAGGAGCCAGGTCAGAAACTCCAGGAGCAGGTACCAGGCTTCTCCACGTGAAGTCTGACTCAGAGTTCAGCAGCAGTAAGACCTGAGGCTGAGTCCAAGGTGTGAAGCCTGAAGGGCCCCACTTAGTTTCTGATCCAGAAACTAACTTCCTATAGCCTAGAGAAAGTCACTTCCTGTCTCTGAACCTCAAATTCACTTATAAAATAAGGGGCTTGGTGAAGACGGTCTGTAAGGTTTTTTCAGTATCATCTGCCATTTGTCTTAACAATATAACCTGCTCCTCTCCACCATGACTTGCTGGAAACAGATCCTATAATCCTGCACAAAGAAAGACGTAGGCCCAGAATAACATGGAGACTTCTCTAGATGGCTGTCTCCCTGCCTTACTTGGTCTAAAGAACAGACCTTCTTCCAAAATTGTAAACTGTAAGAAGAATGGAATAAAAGCAACTTTTACAGCTATGTTCTGACCTTGGTGACAATGTGGGGACTTTCTCCCTCCCACATCTGAAAAACAGGACACTGGGTGATGAGACTTTGCCTGCCTCTTATGCTGTTAGTAACAAGCTAATGAAGTGCCAAGGGAGCCCAGACAGCCAGCTGGGCTGGGAGAGGAGAGGAGGCTGGCCCCAAGGAGGAGTCCTTAATTTATATGTTAATTATTGTGGGTGTGCAGGAAAACACTAGAGGGGCTCTCCTTAAGCCCAGAAAACTTCCTCCTAGAAAAACTCAAGCTCTCAGTGGATTTCTCTTCTTCAGTGAAATAGACATGAGGCAAATTCTACAAACTGGCTGTGAAAACCATGATGCAGAACTGCATGAAGTATGGGGAACACCTGTCATAATATAAGAGGACAAAAACAAGAGACAGACTCAGATAAAATATTCAGTAGATGTCCTTAGCCTCACTGTTCTGAAATCTCCTCCAAGTCAAGACATCCAAGAAATCCAGCAGCTGTCCTGATGAAAAGCACTGGGGAGGAGTCGGCACACAGATGCACAGAGCAGTGGGCTGGGAGAGGCTGACCTCTCTTGAAAGGGAGCCACTCCCACATCTGTGAGCAAAGGGCTCACGCTCTG